CCCGCGGCCCCGGCCCGCTTCGGCCGTCTCCGAGGGATTACGTGCCGCAGGTACCGTCAGCACTTTACCCGGCTTTTTTGGGCCAAAAAAAAAAAAAAAAGGGCTTGAAGGGGTTTTGAGAGGTGCGGAAAATAGTAGGGGAAGGAGGTAACAGTGTGAGGAGGGAGCTGGGGGGGAATATGGCAAATGCTGCGATCTGCCCTTGCCGTTCCCTCCCAAAAACCGGAGAGGGGTCCGTCCGGTGCCCCAGCCCCTCGGCGCTGGGGATGCCGTGCTGCCTGCCCCGGCTGAGCTCATCCTCCTGTTCCCGCAGTTTCCAAAACGCAGGGCTTGCCCTTGGTCCCGAAAAACCTCCCTTCGGCCGTGTTGGGGCAGGAGGGGGTAGCCTGGTGCTCCCGTGTGATCTCCCAAAACCCTGCAGGCTCTCGGCACGGAATCGGCTCCCAGGGCCGGCCTGGTTTCTTGTAGTTAGGTGTGACCAGTGCTTGGCCATATTGCAGAACCTGGTGCATAGTTACACAGAGTCTAAACAAGGTACGAGCTCGCGTACGTACTCAAACTTGCTATATTTTCCATCATGAGGAGTTACTTTCCTGCACTGTGGATTTGTATGGCTCTACGAGCTGTTAAACATGTGCTTTGTGTCCAAAATAATGTCATCATCTGCGTCTTTATGCCCATCTGCTCATTTACATTATTATCATGAGGCACATGATCTTCTGTAAGGGTATGAAGATTTGAGCCGTGGAGGCCGGCCATCCCCGTACGTGCGTTTCTACTGCATGTGCAGTGTATCTGCCATAACCTGATGCACGGCCTCTCTCAGCAACTGCAACAAAATCCCAATGATCGCTTTCTTTTCACCACCTTAAAAGGTAGCTCCGCCTTAAGCCAGGAGGATGCTTTCCTATCTGTCTGGCTTTCCTCTCCATCCCTTTTTACTCCACAGCAATGTTTCTGGATTTTTTTTTTATTTTTTTTCCCCCCCTCCTGTGCAGTAACAGAAATCAGGCCAGCCAGGGGAGGAGGAGGCAGAGAGCTATTTCAGGGAGCTGCTGTTATCTGCTCTGTGTTAATCCCCTGGCAGGGCGGGGGGAAGGTTTTCCCTGAGTGCTTTACTGGGAGGGCATATATTAAACATTGAAAAGCAAAGAGAGGAAGAAGAGGATTAGAGGGAGAGAGAGGAAGCTGGCTGCTGGTTTTAGTTGGGTTATCCATCTGCTCTGCTTGTATGGATGCAACAGCGTGAGCAATCTCACTTGGGGTTTTTTTGTGTTTCGTTTTTTTCCCTTCTTCCTTTCCCCACCCCTTTCTCTCTCCCTCTCAGATATCTGTGTATCGAGGTCCTTTTGCATCACCGTTATCCAGGAGCCCTGGAAGGCCCCTCACTCCCCTTCCTCCCGGTTTCACCTCCTGCTGTAGCTGAGCTGTTGAGATAATGGAGCTCAGGACTGTGGTAGCCACCGTGGAAAGTGGGGAGCAAGACACAGTTCTCAAGGTGCTTCAGATCTACAACCAGGAGGTGAGTGAGCGTCAAACCTCTGCCTGATGTCAGCTGCTGCTGTTTACAAGCCTGGAAGCAGGTTGGCCATGTTGTGGGATTTCTGTGCCATCCGGCTGTCCCCAGTCTGTCTCCTCTGAGTGCATCTGTCTGCGCGTTGCTGCCATGAAAATGTTACAGGCTGCTTCGTCTTTTACTTGCAGATGGCTTATTGCTTGATGTTTTGCTAGGAAGCGGCTAAGCAGCCCCTCTTTATCTTGGTTCCTTTGTATACTGGAAGTAAAGCATGTAGAAGGGATTTTTTTTTTTATTATTATCCAGATCCCAAGTAAAACCTGGCAGGGAAATAAACATCAGTGTGAAGACCGAGTAGGAGGAGCTTTTATGTTAAGGCAAGGTTTGGAGGTAGTAAAACTGAGGCCTGGGGAGGAGCTGCAGGTGAAACGGTTGTCGTGATTTCCAAGTAAAAGGTCATTAGAGGTGGACAGGGACGGGCTGCTGGAATTTGATACAGGTGCCTGATCTGAAAGCTGACAATAAGAGGTAAATAACAAATATAGAATATCAAAAAAAGAACGCTTGGGAAGCAGAGATGGAAGCGTTCCTAGCATTAAAGTGGCAAAAGATTATCTGTGAGGGTAAATCCCTTTTGAAATAGACTCCGGTTGTCAGGGAAATTTCCTTCAGAGGGTTTCCACCAGGGTAGGGCTGGCCCTGCAGATCTCCGTGACTCATTCTGCACCATTCTTGAGTAGGTGGGAAGCCAGCGGGGAAAACCTGTGAATATTTTGCACGAGTGTGCAAGAGGCAGAGTGTGCAACTATTTCCAGCAGTCAGTTTTGAAGCGGGGGAGATATTAGCAAAGAAGGAGCGGGTCGCTGTTAAAGACGGTCCGCAGGATTAATATCACCTACAGCAGGTGTAAAGCTGGAGAAATTAGGACTGCAAAAAGAGTTTGTTGTGTAACCAGCTTGAGGCATCAAACCACAATATTTTCTGTCGAATTCCTCCAGCTGGATCCTTTGTCGATGTATCAAGCGTAGGAAACTTGTGAGAGTGTCAGTGGCTTTGCTAGCCCGTCTAGAAGAAATGGAGCAATCAAAGAGGATTATGAAACTGCAGATAAACTCAGCAACTTTCTTGCATCATTTTTTACTGTAAAAATTGATGGTACTGTATCCTTTTTCTGGGGATATATTTTGACTCACTATTGCATACGCAGTCAATTTTTGATTGCCAGGAATAAACTACAGCTAAAGCAAAACCACGGGGATGGCAGAAATATACGCGAATGAGATTACAGGAGCCTGTGAAGAGGATGTGATGGGAAGAGAACAAGCGGCACGGCTGTCTGCAGAGCACATCGGTTCCAGGACTGAACCGCCGGTTCCTCGTAACGTGGTGCAACAGCCTATGCACGGGTCAGCTCACAGTGCTAAAGCAGGAGAGGGCAGCCCCGGGCCGAGCGCTACGGGAGTACAGCTGTCCTGCCTCTGCACCTGAGGTTTCTCAAGCAGCGTGTCGGCATCGCTTTGTCCATCATGGCTTGCTCTAGGCTAGAAAGACCAAAGCCATCCCTGGGATCCTGGTGACCGTGACACGGTTAATCTGCAAACTGTATCTTCTGCTTCTAAGCGGACAGGAATTGGCAGCACATAAAAAAGGCGGTGAACGGCAGGGGAGGCTACGTTTGCAGAGCGAGCGAGTCAGGGAACACCTGCGCTCTCCAAAAGCTCAGTGCAGTCAGTCTTGGGCTTCGCTGGGCAGGAAATCAGGTAGAGTTAGACAACTGGATAACTCCTAAGGTGATAAATGCAGTGGGAGACAAGCTCAGCTGCTCAGACCTATAGATGGGATGTCCATAAATTGTGATCACTCAAGAGAAGAACAAGTCCAGAGTATAAGAATGATTGGTCGTGGTAAGACTAACGACCATTATTGAGCGGCTCCGTAAGTGTGAGCAGTGTAACTCAATAAAAGGTGACAGTGAGCGCTAAGAAAATGATGGGAGAATTATGATACAATTATATCCACATATCTCTCTAGATCTAGGTGTATCTCTACATACATAATTAGTGTTTTATAAATTTTAAACATTGTCATTCTCAAAGCTTGGACCAAATGCTCTCTTGGTGTAAATGAGGGTTGCGTCATTCACTGGAAAGTGCTGCTTTTCACCAGGGCGCCTGTGGTCTCCTGTGCTGCCCCGTTCATTGAAAGCAGATGTAGCCAGAAAGGAGACTGTCCATCGAAGAAGCAGCCAGAATAGTGAGAAACACAGAAATGTTTCCCGTGAACAAAGAGCAGGACTGTTTTTATTAAGGAAAGTGACAGGAGGGAGGTGTAGAGATCAGGTCTCTTGTGTTTAAAGAACATGACCTGAATAACCACAAGGATCTGTTCGCGAGTAACAAGGAGACAGTACTTTTCTTCAGTCAGGAAAAGGAACAATAAATATCAAGGGGAAAAATGTTATAGGCACAGCTTGGTGGTGTCACTGAGCAGAGGAATTACCGGCTATTACAGGATATTTGGATTATGGTGAATGC